CCCTAACTGAACCTGGTGTCATCATCAAGATGATGCTCTCATCTGTTCTCCAAGCTCTCGTAGAGACCCTGTCCTGTAGCCAAGAAACCAGGGCAGCTTTCCAAGATGATGCTTGGGGAAGCAGAACTCAGCTTTTTGTGCTGACACTGAACAACTTAACCCATGCAAATTACAGTTCTTGTGTTCTTTGTTGAGACTCGCAGCTCCCCTGAAAGGGAACACCCACATGATGCAGACCTGAAGCTCACTGATGGATCCATTAGAGTCACTGTCAGTCCTTTGACAATCCCAAACTGCTGCTGACATATTTTGCCAAGTTCTCCAGCAAATTCTTCCTTGTTCTGTTTCCTGATATTGCTTCAAATTAGAGAAATGTTGGGAGAATCTCTATTTTTCTTATAAAAATTACAAAAACCCATTTTTTAATCTATTTTTGGTCTCTGTTTGCCTGAAAAATTAACTTTAATTTCCCAGAAGTGGCTCAGGACTACTATATTTGCCTCACACATTCACTCTGCCCCTTCTCCTAAACATACAGTCCTTCAGGTACCTCACAGCGAGTTGCATAAAGCCTTTTTTTTAGAAAACAGCTACAACATCTGTTTATCTGGTCCAATTCTCTGATAAATAAAATATATCCCAGAGGCATAATAGCATGCTAAAAATAAGAGTATGACACAATTTGAGCCAGCTAATCTGGTAACTCAGTTTGCTGCAGCTCACGGAGTGTTAATGTGAGAAGCCTGTATCTTTCCAGCCCGGCTGGCTGTGAGCATCGCGCATGGATCTCTCCCCGAGCCAGAGCCAAATCCCACAGTACTGTGCTGTCCTGTGCTCACAAACTTCCTCCCTCTGGCCTCTGCAGGTGTAAAAACCTGGGGGAATTGTGATATGTGAGATTTTGTGTGAGTCAGGGAGCAGAACAGAAGCGCCGCAGTCAGCGGAGCCTGACGTGTGTCGTGTTTGCGATCGTAGCGCCTGTTTGTGACCCAAAACGTGTAACCTCTCTGATTATAAACGGCATAAAGAGCTGTATGTACCTGCACTGTCACATATCAGTGTAGCAAATAATCTCATGTTAATTATCTATCAGGGCAATATCAAAAAACCCAACAAAATTCAAATCTTACTGGTATCAAGATGATTTTTCAGATGATTTTTGGTAGGGTTTTTTATGTTTTCTTTTAAAGTAAGGTGCATACTATGTGAGGAAAAACTCCTCCGTGTGTATCATTATGTATATTAAATCATTCTCCTCTATGTTCCATAATTTGATCACATATTTTTAGGAATGTATTTTGCTTATCTCTGCTTTCAACAGCAAACTCCCTCTGCTAACTCATCCCGTTTGGATTTTTATCTTTCAATTGAATAAGGACCTTGAATTTTGGCATATGCATAAATATGCTCCAGTATATGGCAAGCAGCAGCTTCCTATGTTTAAAAAATAAATATAGTGAAAAATTTCAATATTTTTTAATACTGGTGAAAATAAAATTTAGTCTGTCAAGATGGCACAGTGATAGTCTTTGAATAGATGCTACTTTGAATGTGTTTTAATTTTTTTTTCCAGAAGCCTCAGTTTAGGAGTTTATTTTCTTAGTAACAAAATATTTGCTCTGAACAATCCCGGAAGCATAATACATTAGTAGAAAGAAAAGAGTATTTATAGCCAGTAATTCAGCTGTTATAAATTATGACTGTAAAGAAAGAGAAAAGGGTTCCTTTTTAAAACTTGCTGCCAGATTCTGGTACAGCAATGCTGAGCAAGTTAAGTAATGTTCTTCTGATGAACAGTCAAGTCTGGAGCAGTTTTCATTTTTAAAAGACTTTATTAAGCATTTTTCTCAAACTCATCTTTTTTGTTCTGTTTTGAGCAGACTTCAATCTGAATAAAACTCTCAGTGACTTTTTAGCCTACATTAAATTCTCACTGACAAACAGATGAGAATTATTATTGATTTTCTCCAGAAAGAACTAATAGGCTTTGCCAAATGAATCATGCAGATCCTAAGTGTGCTATTCATCTATTCAAATCAGTCCTTTGACTTGAAGTGAAAAATTTGGACTGAATGTTGTCCTGGGCGTTACTATTGTTTGGTTTTTTTTACAGTTTGGAAAATGAGAGGGCTGGCAGGCATGGATTCTTGGTAAGTGTGGATTCTTAGTTTCTAGGGAACTCGACCACACCTGGAGACTGGAGCTAACTGGTTTGTGTTAATGAGTGGCTCAGTTATTTATCCCTCCCTGGTATTATGGAGCACCCCAAGTCTCCTGAGAAGCCAGAGCTGACAGTGGAGTTGATCTCCTTCAACTTGGACTCCCTTTGTGTCTGTGTGTCTGTCTGTGTGTCAGTGACGGCCCAGGGCCCTGACTAGCTTCTGAAATACTCCAGCATCTTCCACGGTTTCTGTTCCCTCTGTTCTGGAATTTGTAGATACTTGTGCCCCTCCTATCTTTCAAGAATACATTGTAGATAATTATTATGTTTATTTAATTAGCTTTTTGTTGATTTGAGCTTATTTGGTGCAGTCACTGGTGCTTTTGCAGCACACATTCCATCATCTGATTTTTTCCTAATTAATGGAAGAGTCTGATCACCCACTTCCAACTCGATTTTACATACCCTTGATAATTTTTTTTGTTGTTGTATCGGAATTGATTTAGAGTTGAAGCATGTCTCAACTAATTGCAAGACATAATACCACAAAACTGTATGAATAAACAAATATTAATATGTACTTAACATCTACACCTAGATACCAGTGTTTGTACCCACACACAGAGGATGCTGCTACTGGCTGAAATTAGAAGACAGGAACAATGTAGTTTATCCAAAGTCTGTATTTCTCTAATAAATTTCAAATCAGCATGAGACATATATCCCATTCAAATATTCATCTGTTTAGCATCTTCACCAAAAAAAGAACTGTCTAGATGACCCTCATGCCAGCAGAAGTTGTGGTTCTAGCTGATATTACTCAATTAACATTGTATGAGATTTCTCCAAATGTGTTGACTGCTGTATCCATCTTAAAGGGAAAAACAACCGGAAAAACAACCCAAAAAACACCCAAAAAACACCCAAACCACCACAAAACCCAAAAAACCCCCGACCCCACAACGCAAAACAAACCAAACAAAAAAATCCCCCAAAACAACAACAACAAAAAAACACCCATATCCTTTTAATTTCTCCTGTTTGTTACTAAAATAATGCATTATGAATCTGCCAAGTCTTGCAAGCCAGCACAGTTTCATATTCTGGGCACACCATTAATTTTCACAGGAAAATATGTGTTTAGAATCACTAGGTCTGCTCAAACATTGAATGCAGTTATTTTTCAGTATTTTCCATACATGAAATTTAGCTACCTTGTTGTATCAAAAATCCAGCTCTACTGGCAAACAAACACATTTTTTAAAAAAGCTGGAAGAGGAAAAGGGGAAGGAAGAAACCTATGTGTGACCTCTGGTGGTTTAAGACTTACTCAGAATACTGTACCTTCATCAATGATTAAATGGCTCTCCCTTTTAAAATGTATTGAGCCCTCATTTTTATGTAGGTGGATATTACTACCCCAGAAATTCAACCTCTCACTGAGAAAAAGGGTGATCATAAGAATGGGAAAACAACTCAGATAAGTAAAACCAATGCAAATGTTTCACCAACTCCTTAAAAGAGACTGACAATCTGAAGTGTAAACACATGGGGTCCATATTTCCAGAAATAAGAAATTATGGCAGATGCTCAACTGCCATTGACACATCAGGTAACCATCACTCTGGGAAGACAGGTACTCTCTGAAAACTGGGCACTTTTAATAAGATTGAAAAGAAAGTGCTTAAACACTAAGGTGTCCAAAAATTTAATTTGGTTTGCAAATACACATTTTGACTCTTTTTCAAGTTTCTCATTGTTTTCTTCTTTGTGTGTGTCTTTTCCTTGCTCTGTCTGAAAACAGAAAAAGGGGTAGAAAGCACTGTGTAACTAGAACAATATGTGTATATACACATATAAATTGTATACATCTGTATCAGTCAGCAGTTTAATATTTAGATACCATTTTGATTACATAGTTTATTTTTTGTTTGGTTAAGGATCTTCAGGAGGTTTTCAGAATATATGGGCTGGCACGGAAAGCAAAGCTAGATTTTATCAGATGTATCTCAATGCTTCCTAATACCATGTGCTTTCATCAGTTTTTTCTCTATGCCTTGTTCTTTGTAGGCAGCACTTAGTACTTCATAGTCCTTCAGAGAGAGTGCTGACTGGCTGAGAACTCATCCTGGAGAGCAGGGACACAGGTATTTTCCATTTTAGATACACAGGCCAAAATACCACACATGTATGATCAAACTGACTTTTACTTAGGTACTACATGATAGGAAAAGTCAGTCAAATTGTCATATTTTAAAGAATAAAAACAAAATTGTCCATCTTGCTGGCAAATGGATCTGTGCTTCCCGTGCTGTAGGGCCTGCACACCCTCATCCTGCAAGCAGAGGTGCCTACAAAAAAGTTGGAGAGGGATTTTCTATAAGGACAAGTAATGAGGGAATGATTTTAAGCTGAAAGAGAGGGAATAGTTTCCAGCTGAAAGAGAGCAGGTTTAGAATAGATATTAGGAAGAAATTCTTGACTGTGAGGGTGGTGAGGCACAGGCACAGGGTGCCCAGAGAAGCTGTGGCTGCCCCATCCCTGGAAAAGTTCAAGGCCCACTTGGATGGGGCTTTGAGCACCATCTGGTGTGAGGTGTCCCTGCCCAAAGCAGGGGCTGGAACTGGATGATTGTTAAGGCCCATTCCAACCTAAACCATTCCATGGTTCCATGTTGCTCCCTGTGCCCCTGTGCCAGAGTCTGCAGTGCCCAGACCATGGAACCGATTGCTCTGTGACATCAGCCCAGGGCCGCGGGCGCTGCAGTGCTGGTGGGCACTGCGGCTGTGCTGGCACACGGAGTTCTCGCTCCTGCAGCTGGCACGAGCCACGGGCAGCAATGCTGCTGTTCTGCTTCCTCGTGCTGCTGGCCGCGTTCAGGCCTGTGCAGGGTGTGTGGAACACCTGCGAGTAAGTGGCTCCAGGCTCTGGGAGGGAGCCTGGGCAGCACTTGGAGGCTGCCTGGAGAGGGCCTGCTTGTCCTTCATGGCCAGGCCACAGCCTCCCGAACCCCATGGGGAAGCCTCAGTGCCTTGGGGACAGGCACACACCCCGTGGCCTTCCCTGGCGTGCTGTCCCCACACACCTTGTGGGGAGCTTCTGCTGGAGCAGCAGCAAGCCATGGAGCAGATGGAAATGACTTTCTACTTGCAGAGGGAGCTGTGGGCTCCGGCCCTTGACTTCTGATGCTGAGCGAGGCATGACACGCGTCGTGGGTGGCAAAAGTGCTGAGTCAGGGGCCTGGCCCTGGCTTGTCAGCATCCAAGATCCCTCGGTTTCAGGCACGGGGCATCTGTGTGGAGGGTCCCTCATCAGCACACAGTGGGGCCTCACAGCAGCCCACTGCTTTGCTGAGTCCAGGTAAGCAGGAGCAAGAAACAGGGATATCCCCACAAAATCAGCGGTGCCCTATCATGGGTGCCCTACCAGCAAGTGCCGTACGCTTCTCCCATCTCATTTCTTTGCAGTATGCCCAGTGCCTGGGCAATGCAGAGCCCAGCTGAGAAATTGCTCAGGAGAAGGCTGGGCACATGCCACTGCTTCCTAGACATTCCCAGAGCCTGAGGCATGCTAGAGCAGTCACCGCCTCCACAGTGCTGCTTTCCTCTCTGCCTCAAGAAGCAGAAGGCTGGTCACTGCTGGGCTGCCACAGCTCCAGGCTCTGCTGCCTCTCACCCCTCTCTCCACGTGCCCTCAGGAACATCAGCGCCATGCGCCTGGTGATCGGGGCCACCCAGCTGACTGAGCCGGGCCCTGAGGCCCAGGTGCGCCTGATTAAGCGGCTGCTGATTCACAAGGAGTACGGTCCTGCCGACCAGAGCAACGACATCGCGCTGCTGGAACTCAACGAGCCTGTCCAGTGCAGCCCCTACATCCAGCTGGTCTGCGTGCCCAACGCCACGCTGAACGTGGCACAGCTGGAAACCTGCTATGTCGCTGGCTGGGGTGCCACCACTGCAAGATGTGAGTTTTCAAAAATAGAGGGCAAGCTCAATACACTGTGAAGATGGGTTGGGCTTCTTGACAGCAGAGGCCAAAGCCAGAATAAGGCTGCCCACTCTCTAAAAGCAGACGGCAGGGACAGAGAGCTTCAGCACCCCTGTAGAGGCACAGCCAAACCCTAGGGAAGGGGATCGCCTCCAGATGGGGAAAGTGGCAGGGAGCTGCCGGGTTCTCATTCCTTTCTGTGCTCACAGCTCAACAATCAAGTGATGTCCTGCAGGAGGCCAAGGTCCACCTTATCAATGTCCAGGTCTGCAACAGCAGTGAGTGGTACCAGGGGGATGTCCATACCCACAACTTGTGTGCTGGCTACCCAGAGGGTGGCATCGACACCTGCCAGGTAGGAATGTCACTCAGTGACAAGTCACTCAGCCCCCAGCAGCGCAGGCAGCACCACCCCAACACAGTCCAGCCCCTGCTTTCCCTGGCCAGTCACTCTCATCCCTGGCACCCCACCTTTGCTGGGGTTTCCCAGCCATTCCCCATGTGCAGGGCCTAGCCCAGGACCTCCCTTGTCCCAGAGGCCTGGCACTCTGCCCAAAAGGCCCTGCTAGTGCTCTTTGCAGTCTAGAGATCCAGATGCCAATGCTGGAACATCTGTCCTCTGCACATCCAGAAGCACTGTGCAGAGCTGAGAGAGAGCCTGACTTCATAGGCTCCCAACCCACTCCCAGCCAAGCTTCTGGAGGCTCCAGCACCTGAGCAGAAGCTTGCTCAGCTGAGAATACAGCTCTGTACAGGGCTGTGAGAGAGAAGGAGGCAGCACCAGTGCTGACAGGGGCCACCCAACACCCCCTTAATCCTCTCTGGTTCTCTGCAGGGTGACAGTGGGGGTCCACTCATGTGCCAAGACAACAGCGCTGACTTCTTCTGGCTTGTCGGAGTGACCAGTTGGGGAAGAGGCTGCGCCAGAGCAAAACGGCCTGGAATATACACTTCTGTTCAGCACTTCTATGACTGGATTCTGGTCCAGATGGAACTGCTTCCACAAGTAGAGGCTTCTCGGTCATGGAGTCATTATCCAACCACCTCACAACCGTGGATTCATCATACAAATGCCCCATGGCCCACTCAGAAGCCATGGCCAAGACCACCTCCCACTCAGAAGCCATGGCCGAGACCACCTCCCACTTATAAGCCATGGCCAACAACACTGCCTGCTCCAAAGCCATGGCCAACAACACTGCCCACTCCAAAGCCATGGCCAACAACACTGCCCACTCCAAAGCCATGGCCAACAACACTGCCCCCTCCAAAGCCATGGCCACCAACACTGCCCACTTCTAAGCCATGGCCAAAACCAACCCCCACTCAGAAGCCAAGTTCGATACCCGCACCAGTGGAAGAGATTAAGACCTGCCCATTTCCACTCAAGAAGCTGATGGAATTCTTCACTCAGATGCGGGACCTCCTGAAGAACCTACAGGGAATTGCAGGTTGAGCAGGAGAATGGACAGGATCCAGTGCAGGTTGCATCAGACCATGACTGTTTCCTGCTGAGGCAACGCCTGCTGATCCAAAGGCCGCCTCAGTGCCGAAGGCCTGCTCTGTCTTGCCCACGTTACTCCTCTACATGTATGCAAGTGCTAATGTTGACTTAGTTGCTGAAATAAAGTTGCCTATGTTTGTGGTTAACCATGCTTTCAGTCCAGTTTGGTCTCTTGGGCAAGGCAAGGACTTCCTTGCCCAGGACCTACAAAATGAGGTTGCCTCAGACCACTTGGGCACAAAGGGAGTCACTCTAAAGGGCTGGAACTGTGTCTGATCAGACAGAAGAGTGCTCAGAGTCACAAGATGGAGAAGACTGGCACATCAAGGCTAGGAAGAGGACAGGAGGAGACAATGCCACATGCAGGCACCTTGGGGCACATTGAGGCACACAAGCTGGTGACTAGGGCCTGGCAAAAGCCTTAGCTAACGGAGCAGACCTGGGAAGCTCCTGAGCATGACAAGCAAAATTTCTGACTGTCACAAAGACAGGGAGAAGCTGAAAGGAGCTACAGTGCCCTAAGGAAGAGCAAGATTTCACAGGTAGCAAAGGGACATTGATGTGTAAGGTGACCACACTTCAGAGTGTTTGAAGGAAGAGTTGGGGTCATTCTGGGGAGGAGAACCTGGTAGGAGCAGAAGGACCCAGGAAACTGCATCTGTATTGCCATGGAAGGCCAAGGTGAGCTAGTTAACAGCACCTGCAACACCAAGTCTGTCCACAGGTGGGACAAACCTTGGATTCAGGGGGAAAAGATAGCAGGGAGGAGAGAAGGTCAGAGAAAGAGAGGAGTCAAGGAAGATGAGGGGGATGTGTAAGCATGGCAGATAGGGAGAAGGGAGGATCGAGGAGCCAGTCTCACAGACACAAGCTGCGTCCTTGGCCTCACATTCCAGGTGCCACAACTGCCCTTGTCAGCGTGAGCCCAGAACAGCACTAGCCCTTGTAGACATCAAGGACAGGGAGCCTCCCAGAGGGTGTTGCTGTGGCTGACGTGGCCAGCATGGACCGTGCTGCATCCATGTCCCCCATGCTTTGCACAGGAAGGATGACACTGTGTGGATATCTCTGGCATATGTGACTTGTGCTGCACTGCTTGCCATGGCTGTAACCAGACTGCACGCGTGCATGCTGTCTGCAGGAGCCGTGTGCTCTAGTGGGTGTTTTTTGGGAAGGAGCTTCTGGCAAGCAGCTGCAGAGTTGGGTGGCAGTGAACCTCCTAAAGAGACCATGATACCACACAGGGTGTTTTCCTGCAAGCTGTTAACAGGAAGTTCTGTGAGCCCCTGCAAACAGAGGGGCTAAAATAAAGGTAGAGAGGGACTTTTTACAAAGGCAAGTAGTAATAGGACAAGGAGGAATGGCTTTACAGTGAAGGTAAGTTTAGAACAGATATTAGGAAGAAATTCTTCTCAACCAGAGAAATTCAGTGACTTCAAAGCTGCACTCAAAGCAAATGTCACAACCATCTCCTCCTCAGGAAATGGAAAAGGCCTGTCACAGTCATTACCATGACACGAGCACCTACCAGCAGCTTCCAACTGCTCATTCAAATGCCAAGTGACAGGCAGATGTTTCCAGTAAGAAATACAGTCCTCTCAGAGCCTTGGGTTTCATCATCCACCAGGACAGCATTGCCTCAGCCTTCTCTGGCCGGGGCTGTGACCTGCTGGAGTCACTTGAGCTCAGCCGGGCTCAGCTCTGACCATGGGGCCCAGACACACCACGTGGCACTGCTGGGACTGGAGAGAGGTTTGCTTTTCCTTGTCACAAACGTCCTTGTTAGCAGGAAGCTGTCAGGAGAAGGGGACATAAGACAACTTCCACCCTGCCTATTGTTTTCCCAGCAGCGTTTGTAGTGGATTTCTAAAAGAAGAAATCCCCACAAACTGCAGTTGGGAATTTAAAATAGCACTGGGGACAACGGTGTATGCTCTCTAGTGGCTTGATAATTAAGATAGAGTAGAAACCATTTAAGTAGAAATGCCACTGATAAGTGCAGGGAAGGATTACAAACCCTCCCTCCGCCCGAGCGCTCCCCGCCACGCCGGGACGGGCCCAGACCGCGGGGCCGCCATCGCCGCGACAACGCTGCCCCCTGGCGGCGGCCGGCGGGAGCGCGGGGCGGCCGGCGCTGCCCTGGGAATGCCTGGGGATGGATCCCTGAGCATGGATCCTGGGGATGGATCTCTGAGGATGGATCCCGCGGCGTGGGCCCGCACGGATCCGCCCGGGAACGCAGATACTGCACGATTCTTGCCCCGAGCCGCGCGGGCAGACACCGCTGCAGGCAGCTGCTGCCTCTGACACGTCGCGTTGGTGCTGCCTCAGACACTGGCAATTACTGGTGACCCCTCACTCCGACTGGGTTAAATATTTTCCCACTCCGGGCCGTGTGTTTGCACAGGAAGGATCAGCAAGTCACGTCTGCTGCCGTTCCCTCTGCACCAGCTGCCCGATGTCCTTGGTACCTGGCCATCAGTTCTTAATGTACATCAACATGCTCTGATATACAGCCAGCCTGATCTTTGACTCACCTTTGGAACAGCAACACATTTTCTCAACAACAAATTATACTTTGACATTAGAAGGTGGCAATCTGTAATGGATATTGCAATCTGAAGATTGAAAGAGACTATCTGTGATCTTTGTCCTCAGCCGAGCAAGCTGGAGTCTCTCTTCCCTCCTACACATTATTTGATTGTGGGACATAACCTTGGGATGTACTAATAATCATTAGTCAGAGCTGATGTATCCGTTACGGGCCTGCCCTGCTCGGGGAGGGAAACACTCTCTAGAACAGTAGTAAATCAGCAAAACATGCACTTAAATATACAGTAAAATGTGGTTTTAGACACGGTCCTTCATACATCATGTAGCAAAATGTTTTATTGAGAGAGTCACACACACACTAATGAGGAAAGAGGGCTACCAAGACAAGACCTGTGGAGGGGAAGCAGTTCGGTGGCAGGAAGGGGCTGGGAGAGATCTCTGAGCAGCTCCTGGTCCAGGGGAAGTTGTGACTCCCCAAGTCCTTCTCTGCCCTCTCCTAGCCTTGGACGAGCTGGCAGGAGAGAGAAGGGAAAGCAAAGGAAGGAAGAGAGTCCTGTAGAGCTGTCCAGACACAACGAGCCTTAAGAGCCTGGCAGGGGCAGTGAAAGGGTCCACCTTGCCAGGAGGAATGAGAGGTCTGTTCTGCTGTTCACCAGCTTTGCAGGTCAGGCTGCTACTTTGTCGTTTGGTTTTGCTGCTAAGCAGCTGTCTTTTTGGAGCTGAATGTTGCAGAAATTGTTAGAGCTTCTCCTTTGCTTTTTTACAGGCATTTGTCATTATTATTTAAATGTGAGTGAATAAATAACACATGTATCCGCTGAATGTTTTACTCTCTGGGTTCCTGACCTTGCTGCTTTGTCTTCCTTGCTTTTGTGGTCCTGACTATTTGCAGAAACTGTGCCAAAAGGGCTGGCCAAGCCAGTCAGCCAGATCTCTGAAATGCCTGGGGCCACATCCCACACTGATCTGGGAGAGCCTGAGCTCACACATCCCTGCTGACCTTGATTGCTGGGCCCACAGGGCCCTGGGGCTTCTCCTATGAGTCTTGTCACCCTTCTTGGAGCTGGCCAAATCGGTGCATGTCTGGCTTTTTTTGCTCACTATTGGCAATTCAACCAATGCTGGAAATGTCTGTGATGTCCAAGCTTTGGATCAGCTGTCTTGCTTAGTGCAACCTCTCCACATTACATTTTGTTATTTCTAATTTATTTTTTTCTTGAGTAAGTGTAGCTCAAGCATTGCACTAGTCATAGACATTTTTACTGCCGAAACTATGTTTGATGCCTGTTTGGCTGGTGGGGAGATAGGCTCAGGGGAGGTGTACATTAGCTGCTTTCAGTACTTCTGGCCCCAAACCATGTCACTTCGCTGAGGGATGACAGCCTGGCATGGCCCACAGGTGACTGCAGGCTGAGCTGCCCTGGAGGAACTGAAATCCCAATTCCAGCAGAATGTCTGTGACCAGCCCAGTCATGCACCTAGAGAGGGATATAGGGCAAATCTTTCACGTGTCTCTTCAGTAAATATTAGAGTGGTTTGTGCCTTTGTTTTCCTAATTCTGACATGTTTTTCTCAGAAATCTGTTACAAGAATGAGCACAGACTAATTTCCATATAAGGTAAGTCAGTTAAGAATGAGGATGATTGAATGATTTGCCTTTTAATAAATTAACCAGTGCTCATGTTTTTAACAGCATTAAGAAGAGATAAGACCTCCATTCCTCCTGTCATGGCAACTACAACAAACAGAACATCATTCAGAAGTCAAGAAAAAGACACAGGCACTTTAGGTCTCAGTCAAGAGAGCCACAAAGTAGCAAAACTCATTACTAATTCAGAGGAGCTGTATCCCTCAGAGCTCACCATTACTGGTCTTATTGTTAATAACACTGGAGCACATCAATTTAGCAGAACACAGAGTTTGGCAGAAGGCAGAATGGTGTTGAAGCGCCACTCTCCCAACCAAGCACCTCCATGAGGCCTTCCCTTGCTCTAGTCAGCCTAGAAAGAGGCAGTGCTGGGTTGTGGGGAAAGAGCTGAGAGGAAGGTTCTGGTTTTATAGCCAGAGCAGTCTAGTAACATTAATCCTAGAGAAACAGTGAAAGAGGCCATAGGTATTTGTAATTTATTCATAAAGAGCTATGCCATCATAAGAAACTTTTTAAAATAATATGTGATAGTTCTTTAAATATTTAAGAGTTTGTTGACCTATTTTCTCAGTTAATTAGGATTTTTTTTTTTGGCTGCATTAACAATGACTTGAATGCAGTCTGTTTTAGTCACTACACAGTTCAGCTACACTGGGTTACAGAAACATGATTTCTTTCTAAGGCACATGACACAGGAGTGCCATTGTAAGTGTCTAGATGTGTGCTTAAAAACCTGGAGACTTGCTAGTAG